TAATGTACAGTATGTGTAAAATAATGTGTTTTTTTAACCTTAAACCGCATAAACACATTTCATTACACCAAATACACAAAATAATGTTCTTTTTAGCAACATCATATGACCCCTTTAAGAAATCCAGACATCCTCTATGGGCACAATGGACAACTAATAAAAACTAAAATGACAGTTTCACACAAAGACTAGACTAAAACTAAAATTAAAACAGGCCGCCAAAAACAACACTAGACATGCGTGCTTGTATGTGCTGTATGGAGACGTGAATCATGTCTGTGGCCCATTGACTTGGGCACACAACAATATAAGTGAGAAAATCTTGTTTTATTTATGTGACAGAAAGCATTAGTTTAAAACATGAATAGCACAGCCTTGGGCCCCGCTCACGGCAGGCATCCCAAGTAAAGCAGAAAATCTCCTCTTTTTTTTTGCTCTTGAAATATGTCCCTACTAAGCAACTGGCTAATGGCATTAAGATGTTGGAGGAAAGGATTGACATCTACATCAGGGCCAAAGAAAGGGCAGAAATTTCAAAAGTTTCAAGCTACAAATTAGATTTTCATCAGGACTGTATCTGTGCACAATTTTTTTTAACAATAACAAATTAATGGCTGTATGAAATCTGTGCAAAACAGAAATCAAAAAGCAGTAAATGTACAGTAATGCCACACTAATATGACTCCAGTGTTTTTGATACCTGAGGTACTCACAGCTGTAGAGTAAAGGCTGATGTTACGGGCGTTTTCAGCCCAGCAGCCACAACCATAGTGAGCAGCCTGAGACAGAAACATTTGAAGAAAAATGTGTTAAATAAGAATATCTGCTGCTGCAGTTATACATAAAATCATTTTATGATTATGATCATTTATTTAATATACAGCATGATGGTCAAATAGAATATGATCAGACTTGAGAGAAAATCAAAGTTCACCTGTCCCACCCGACCCGGGTGTTTCATGGCCAGACCTCCGCTGGAAACTGCAGCCGCCACATTCCCTTCCCGATCCACCACAACCGCACCAACCGTGTCCAGACAGGCCGAGTTATTCTCCTCACCTTCCACCATGAAGTCTCCTACAGGCTCCAAGCAGTCAAAATCATTCTCCTGCACACAAAAATTGCCATTCAATTAGAATTTCCTATCGCGCACACAGAAATTAACCAGCACTTTCCTACAGTCTAACATCCTGAGTTCATTTACACAGTGAAATCAAAAATAAATATAAGTGTCAATGTATCTTCATGCTAAACCATGGCCAAAAAACAGGAACAACGAGGCTGTGGTTACTGGCAACAGCAAAAAAGGCACATTTTCAAAGCCCAGAATAATACTAGACTAAAACACATTGAACATTGCTTCTCTTGCAATGTTTTTTTCTTGTCTATGAAGTTGGCTTTCAGACCCAGCTGGCTACCATAACCAAACTTGAACTTTCTGACAAACCTGGGAACTGTAATACACGTCGCTATCTAACTTGAGCAAATAAAGTCCAATTACATATCAGCATCTGAAAAATGATACTCGTGCTCTCATTTATAATGAGTAAAGTGGTCATTTTTAAAGGACTGTTTTCATTTGCTGATTGCTGTGTACTTTGGATAGAACGTTGATGTGGACCGAAAGAGTTGTAGAGCTGTTTGATAAATTGGCCTTTCCTGAGAAACTGCGGAAGGGGACAGGATGACTTATAATTTATTATTCCATCTTCCCATGAACAGAGTGTCATTACTGGGACATACTGTAGATCTTCAGACATCAGCTGATTATTATGTGCAATAATCTTCTAATATATGAGCAAACAGGCAAAACCAGAATGTTATTAATATTGATCTCACCATGATTGATAAATCTGACAAAATCAACTCCAGTACAACATCTGCTCACAGACCTTTCCAAAGAGGAGCATCAATTTTCCTCTCCTCTTTGGGTAGCTGTTTATATAACCTTTATGTCTTAAAAATGATTCTGCTTTGTCTCTATTTTGGTGTGTCATGAAAGCAAGTTGGTAAAAATCTTCAACTGAGTTGAAATGTTTCCATATTTGTCATATTTTTCTGTAAAAAAAAAAAAATCAGCGTTTCCATACTTTGACCAATGAACTCCCAATTGCTCACAATTAGGGGTGGGCGATCTTCCCAAAATATCATATCACGATCTTATAACAACACAATCAATGATCTGAATTGGGTTCTTCCCAATTTTGAGATGTACTATAGAGAATATCCAGACTGGAACAAGCCTATGACTTATCTATTTGCACAATTTAAAAAACACAGTATTGCATTAAACAATCCGCTGTAAAAGGGGTCTTTAAAACCTGAGTTAAACGTTAAAACACTGCATCCCTGTATGAATTAAATATACATTGATTCTTATTAAAGTTATAAAGTGATTCAGTCAAGAGCAGTAAGTGATTTTCTGTCTTTTTTTTTGTTTGATTGACATTAATGACACAGCCAGCAGTAGGTTTATTACGCTACTGTCTCTGTAAGACCGAATGCATGGATCTAACATACTGACATGCATCCGATTTCCTTCCCAGCTGTTTATGCTCAATTAAGACATAACTTACTGTCTTTTTGTAAATACTAACCAAGACAGACATTTTGACATATTTTTTGTGTATATTTGACCGTTTATGCGCACGCCTGAAACCTCAAGTATACTCTGCCTGCTCCGTGTCGGAGCGAGCTCACAGAACGCGTCTGGGGAACAGTCTCTTTTGCAGTTAATAATAAAGCATGTCCCACAGTAGACTGCCTTTTTTAATACTCACGTTTACATGATTTGACCGATTTGGATGTTGTTAGGCTTTTAAGGAGTGGCAAAAGCGCAGCGCTTTAAATGAAAGGAATGGCACAATGGCCGCTTTATTAACATCCAAACTAAAACTAAGATTTGATTAATCGCACTAGCACTGCTAGCTCCCGTTGAATTGTTTTCAAATACATCACCTCGCATGAAAGACACATAATAGAGACACGTGATATCAGTTGGCCAGTCACAGTCATCTAGTAGGCAGTCACTGCTGTAGTTTTAACATTTTTCCGTAGACATAAAAGATCACGATCGCTACAATTTACTTGAAAAGTAGTTTGTCGATGTCTTCAAGATCAATCATGATATAAAATTATCATATCACCCCACCCTACTCACAATTACTGGATTTTTTCCACCATTTTATGGAGACTTTTCAAGCAGATTTTCATGTCATGCCATTATTTAATATAATTGTATAATACATTGTTGATTTTTAACAATACTTAGTATTTACAGTAGATATTAATACTTAAGACATAAATTCCATGATATTTCCAAGCCTGAAAACATGGGCGGCACTAGGGCTGGGTTTCCGGGGCATATGCCCTGAATAGATTTAGTTAACCCCCAAATGTTTTTTAAGCACCTTGCCTTTCACCCCAAGTTTATGCCAGGCCATTTGTGGTTTTTGCAAAACTATTCTCTAAGACACAAACCTTGCCATGAACCTTGCAAACGTCTGCAAATCCAGTAATTACTATTTTTTCCCAAAAGCACTCATCGTGGGAACTTCTATAAATCAAAACACTCAAAAACTCCAGGCAAGACAACGATATAAAACACAAAATTCTAAGATTCCCTAATATTCCCAAGTTTCCCAAAACTGTGGGAAACTTTCAATGCTAACGTTATGTTTCTATAAATCACGAGTGCACCCACCCACATAACAGAAGTTACAGAAAGATCTTAGTTCTGCAAAACACTTAAATGCATTAAAAATGAGCAAGAACCCCTAGACCCCAGGCTATCCATGCCATACAAATGCATTTCATTCCCAGTAAAACAATAAATATGGCACTTATAAAAATCAAACAAACCACAGGCCACTTGAGAAGAGACTAGGGGTTGTGTTGTTATCTTAATGACCTTTTAATGCATAGCTCTGGAGAAAAGTCTTTACTGAACTAACTTGAAGGAAGAAAGACCATGTGGCATCCCAGAGGCACAGATCATTCATGCAGACAGCGCCAACAGCAATCACTTACTTCAAACTGATGCTATCTTTAAAACAAACCATACAAGGTTCGAACACCGAACAAGAGTACCACATATACCAAACCAAGTTAGACCGCAACGTATTTGTCTTTCCTGTCCAATAACATTTTCGCCCACATTTTCAGACACTGTAATTTGCAACTAATGACCCATGAGTGACCCACGTTTCGCTTTCTCATCGGGACCACACAAGCATCACATCACGGACGGATTTGCGCTGGAACCCATTTTCCCTCAACACCTGCATTCCATGTGTACCTGTCAAATCGCTTCCTTGAAAATCTACCAAAAATGTAGGAGAGATGCTAACATGTTCAAGCACATTACAGGAAATAATTCGGAGAAATAACTTCAAGATGTGGGCGGGGGAGATCGGGCGGCAGGGTGGAGATGGTGCTGAAGCACCATGGTCTCATATCGCATCAACGAGCCTTAAAACTCCTTAACCTGTATTTTTAGTTACTTTAAAATAAGATAAATGGTCCATGCAGGCTTATTATGGTTACCTAAAACTGAAACTAAAATTAAAAGTTAACTGAAGTGAAAAACTAAACATAAAATAAACATTTCTCATTTTAATTTAGTTTAACTTGATGTACTAAAATAACTAAACATGACATAAAAATGAATAAAAACTATATAGAATTATACTAAAAATGACAAATACACAAGAAAATTACTAAAGCTTTAAAATGAAAATGTCAAATATAAAACTAAATACTGTATTTTAAATAATATAGTAAAATTCAAAGTAATATTCAAAATATTAATAAAAACAGTAAAAGTATCTCAATGATACTAAAATAACAGTGGGTCCATGAACTAAATTATGCATTTGAAACAGCCCCAGAGTAAATGGCTAAAAAGATCTTTTCAAGTTGACCTTTTCATGTCTACCTGCTGAACTCATGCTTTTCAAGGCAATGACAAGAAGCTACAAAAGAGTGTCACAGAACTGTCATCCAAGTCAAATTCCTTGTGTGCAGTGCCATGTCAGCAATGCAGTAAGTATACGTATGTGTGTTTCCTGTGATTGTGAGTATTTGAGGTCTACACACCCCCTTCAAGGTCTTCATTACCCTATGGGTTTCCTCCTCTGGGTATATGTGGTGGTTTTGAATTAGAGGACTGAACAGATGCAGATCCTGTTATCAGTCGAGTAATAATGTCAGAGCACATGCCTCCTCTGCACTGTGTTTAAGCCTAATTAAAACTGAATGGGAGAGTGGAAACTTATACATCATGGAGAATTTATAGGAGAAACTTGCATATTTAGTTCAGTCTTTTTTTAATCAGGGGGTTTAAAGCCTATGCCAAAAATCAACGGCATATCCTGAATGTTAAAGTTTTCCCTTCTATTAAAAAAACTCTCAAGAAACTCTCAACATCAAGTCTGAAACAGACCTGACAAAGTTCAGAACACTTTGATGGAAGCTTTGTTTCTATTTCTGAAGTCACTCCGGATAGCCCCACCCATACTGAAATCTCATTGGTCCTCTCCACATAACAGTGTATTAAATATCAAATATGGATGTGATTCAGTCAGGTAATGCAGAAGTTTTGTATTTAGTGTGAACAGACAAATGCTGCCTAATTTGAACTCGGTTTTAAACTCAAGGTCCAAACAAGGTTTTAACTTTTTGCCACACCTGACAAAGGTAGTGGTACAATGGTAAAA